GAGTTTTTAAATATGTTCTGAATAATTAATTTCTTATCAGACATGTCATTTGCAAATATTTTCTGCCATTCTCTTGGCTGTCTTTTCACTCTCTTGATAGTGCCCTTTGATGCACAGAAGTTTTAGATTTTTCATAAAGTTTAATTTACCTATGTATTTCTTTTGTTGTTTATGCTTTTGGTGTCATATCCAGGAAATTATTGCCAAATTCAATGTCATCAAGATTTTCCCCCATGTTTTTCTCTAAGAGTTTTATAGTTTTAACTCTTGCATTTAGATTGATCCTCTTTGAGTTAATTTTAGTATATGGTGTAAGACAAGGGCTCACTTTGTTCTCTGGTTGGAAGATTCTAGGTCATTTGTGATCGTTAGGATTTTCTATGTAGACAATCATGTCATCCTCGAATATGAACCATTTATTTCTTCCTTTTGTATATGTATGAATTTCATTTCCTTTTCTTGCTTTATGGCACTGGCTAGAGTTTTCAGCACTATGATGAATAAAAACAGTGAGAGCAGACATCCTTGCTTTGTTTCCAATCTTAGAAGGAAAGCTTTCAGTCTTTCATCATTAAGTATACTGTTAGTTGTAGGCTTATTATAGATGCTCTTTATCAGGTTGAGGCAGTTTCCTCCTTGGCTAAGTCTTTCTATTTTTCATTTTCAATTATGAGCAGGAATGTTCGTAACTGCTCATTGAAACTTTGTCTTAGTGGCTGTTTTAACATCCTGGTCAGACACTTCTTATATCTGTTTTGTTGGTCTTGGCATCTATTGATTGTCTTTTTCATTCAGTTTGAGATCTTCCTGCTTTTGGTATCAAAGCTTTTTTTAATATTATGTCATGAAACGTCATCTTATTTAAACCTTCTGTTTTAGTCGGCTATGTCTGACATCACTTCCTCAGGGGAAGGTATTGTTACTGCTAGTGGAGGGTGGGAATTATGGCTCCCCACTGACACTGTGGTGGGGATGGTCGCATTACCACTGGGCAGTGGTGGAAGTCCTGACTCTCTAGTAGGCCTTCTCTGACCTCATCTAAGCAGGAGGAAAAGATACCTGCGGCATTGAAGTCAGGTTGCATTGACACTGTGTGTGTATGGAGGTAGGTGAGGGTGGAAGTGGAGTGAGTAGTTTCCAGTTCTCTATTTGGCCTTCTCTGATACCATGCATAGAGGGACATTGGGGTGCCTCATTACAGCCTAATGAGGGTCAAAGTCTAGGCTCCCTACTCGGTCTTTGCCATCATGGATGGTGTAGGACCATAGCTTTTTCTGTGGTGTGCATCTTCCTTGGACCCTGAGTTCCTGGTCTGCATTCCTCTCTCCACCTCTAAGATGTCTTCTTATGTTTATTTCATATTTAACATCCAGGGTGGTAATCAGAGGGAAGAATAGAGGGAAAAGTGCAGTTGCTGTTTGAACAACACCAGTTTTTAACTGCGTGGACCCACTTTGCTGAGTATACCCAGGGATGACTGTACTTCTATAAAATTTATCTTCCTGGATGCCGAATGCTAAATTGACTATTAAAGTTCATAACAAAGGAAACAGTGGGGAAGGCAAATCTGGAAATGAGGAAGATAAAAATTAAATAGTGAAACCACCATGGAGCCTGTGGCAAAGCCTGAATCGAATTCCCTTTCAGACTGCCTCATTCTAAATTTAAGTCACCATTCTCATTATAGAAGTGTCAGAACTTCTCAGCAGGTGAGGAGACAGTCTAAATTTGAGAAAAGAAAGTCACAACAAAGGTTTTGAGGAAGCAAGCTGCTAAATGGATTTATTCATGATTGAGAAATCAAATATATGGTTAACGCTCTCTTTAACTGGAAGCCAACACTAAGGAGGAATGGACAGAAGTCATGGGAGGAGCCCCTGACATTTGGAAAGACTTTGACTGCCCTGCAACAATCTCCTCCACATTTAAGCTTTTCATTTATTTGTAGCCATATCACAAGCATGTTCCTTACCCAGACATTGCCTGTACATCATTCCCAAAATGCTCCCTGGGTCTTGATAATAGTGATGAGATTCTCCCCCATGTTAGACCCATTCGGCTTAAGTCAGGAACAGAGTTGATTGTGGGGGAGAATCCAATAGCACCCATCTCTGGGTTGCAAGAATATGTGAGGTCACCAGGCATTGTTTGGAATCCCCTCCCTTAGGTAACAGAGTGAGTTCACAGCTTCCAAGACCCCAGGCTTTCCAGGCTAATAAGAAGCGGAGGTTATAGGCTCTCCTTATCAAATGCTCTTCAGCAGCTGCCATAACCATTCGAACTTTAGTCCTAGAATAGAAATGACACGGTTTCCGGAGCTGACAGATGGAACCTTAAGCCTTCCTTCCTGCCACATCCGAAGTTCTTTTTTTTAAAAAAATAGAAAACTGTGATAATAAACACTCCTTGAATGCCCTGTGGGAAAGTGTACCCCTCAGAATTCACTAAAGCAGGATGAAGCAGTGGATGGCAGTGTTGAGAAAACATCCCTTCCCCTTGGCAGGATATTGGAATGTCATAGAAGCTTCTGTGGCTGGGAAGCAAACATGCTTTCTGCCCATTGCTCTTATTCATCTGTTGACCTGATAATATAGTTTGAACTTCAAGTTGCACTTTAAAAGGCATGCATTTTTGACTTTTACCTAAGGAAAGCATCCATTTAAAGAGGCTGAGAGACCTATTCTGGGATCATTCAAATGGTGTTTTAATTATATTTTATTGCAAAATATATTGTTGTAAAGAAACACGAGGGTAAACAGGTCAGAGAGCTGCTCAGAGAAATAAAAGAATGCCTCACTTGAAGAGAAAAAAAGGAGACAGCTTTTTCAGGCAGTTAGTTGGAAATAGTTGAACGGAGGATCTAAAAAGTCAGGTTTTGTTTCTTCAGCCTAGAGGTGGCCACACGGCCAAGGATGCTGAAGGAAACCAGCTCTCAAGAAAAACGTTGTGTTTGAAGCAGGCATCTCAGGTGAGCCAATGGGATGACGGGAGCTGGAATGGCCCTTGAGGTTGCCTGGAATGGAACAAGAGGGCTGGACCTTTCTAACTCACATTGGCCATCACTAGACCAAGACTCTCCAAGTAGGAGGTGTAAGCTTAGGCAGGAAAGCTTTCTTCAGCAGAGGGCAATTACTATAACAGAGCCATCAGTGAGGTAGCACATACTCCCACCAGCTAGGGAAGGGAGGGTCTTGGTCCTGAAGGGTCCACTACAGCATTTGTGTGATTTAGGCAATGCCTTGCTCAGCCACCACATTGCAAGCTTCCCGAGGAGCTTTTGTTTTATAAAGGCTCAGTGCAGTACTTGGCACAGTGTAGTATCTCAGTGTTTGTCAAAAATAATAAATCCAGTCTTGCTGTGACCCCTAATTAGAGCAAACAACTGTTCAGGTTTGCCCAGAACTGTCTTGGTTTTAGCACTAAAAGTCCTACATTTTAGGAAACCCTTGAATTCAGAAAACTGGGGCACTTGGTCACTCTACCTTTCATATTCTTAAGTACTGTTTACTGACCCAGAACAGAATTCACCAAAACTGTTGGCGTGCTCTGCTAAGGCTGTTTTCCAGGGATTGGCTGGAATTATTCTGCCCTGTTCACCCTTAAATAGGCCAGTGTCAGCCCAGGTTGGAAGAGCTAAGCCTGTGAAGAGGCAGCCATGACTTCAGTTTGGCTTTTCTACTTTAAGTAGGTCCTACCCTCCCTTTCTCTTGACGTCAAGCCTCTGGTTTCTGACCTACTTAGCCCTTTCTGCGAACCCTGCGAGTCCGTTCAGATTCCTGATCTCAGGACTCTCTAAGGGCTTATCCTGTTATCACTGGCATACCTCTTATTCTCGTCCACCTCTTTTCCCATTCACGTGAAAACATGGAGATGGTGTGACATGTGGACTCCTGTTAGGTATTAGGACACCCACTGCCTGTCTTTTCAAAACTGTAGACTCAGCAGGAATCACGGGCTTCCTGGATCAGAAGCAAAGTCAACAGTAGAGATGGCAGTGTGATCTGTCGCCATGGTGAGTCTGATCCTTTCAGAGATGGGAAGACAGAAAACCTTGGGAATTCTGATACTGATGGCAAATCAGTCTTCCTAATTTGTTTTCCACAAAGTGCTGGGAGATCACTTATTCACTCAGCAAATATTTCTGATCTTGGTAATCACTCCCAATATAAGATTCTAAGACAAAATACGAAAGGCAAAGAACTTGGTTTTCCTGGCAACTGTGATTTTTTTACTTCACTGGCACATTTCATTCTCACACTAAAAATCAAAACAATGAAAATTAAAAATACCCCCTTTTTCCCTCCATGTAGCTCATTGCATGCTGTACTGTACTTCCTAAATGCACTAGCCCTTCAGTAATCTCCTTTGTCTCTCTCCTTCATCAAAAAATCAATTTTATTTTTCTATCCCTTCTAAATCTTTATGAATATGTCTAAAATCGCTACTTAATTAATTTTGTTCGATGTTGTCCCTGAAGAATGCAGAGATTATTGGTATTTGTTCTATTCTAAGGAGGAATCAATTAACCTGATGAAGAAATAGGTAGCCAGTCTGGCATCACCCGGCACACAGACCTAGAATTATCAAGAGAACAGGTGAAAAATCTCCTGATTTCTGGGCATATCTGCAGATGAAAACACACTGCCTTCATTTTAGAGAGAAGGGCTATGGAGGTATAAATTTATGTCAAAGAACAGAGAATGCCCCCTCTCTTTTTTCCTCACCTTAAAAACAAAACAAATTCTTTGGCTTTGACAGTATAAACATATAGAATCCTCTGCTTTCCTCTAAGGACAATGCTGGCTCTTTCCTCTCAGGCCCTAATAGCAATGTTCTCACAGATAGCCAATAAAAAAAAGACAAGTCAGAGACATTGCAGTTTTTAAGCACTATTAAACTACTTAAAGGAATGTTCACAAGTACGTATTTGTACATTATTTTATGTAGACATAGCTAAGGAACAGTGTATGCCTTTAGCAGAGTAACCAAAACTATTCATGATCAAAGAATTAGTGTGTGGTGAGGTCCTTCCAAGACTATAGCTCTATTGGATATCTTTCTTTAATGCTTCAGAAGGCGCTGCCATCTTCTACATGGTCCCAGGGACTTGTGAGCACTAATTATCGGTGTGCAGCAAGAGCCAGTTAAAATAAATTCCTAGTTGGTGGCTTGTTTATCACCTGGACATACAGCTCATAAACGACAGCATTTAAATGCCGATGAGGCATAAGGAAATGTTTTAGAATTATGTGGGGAAATCTCTCCCTTGGGATAATTGGTTTTTAAAGTGATCTTCTCTCTGATCAGGTTTCACCTCTAGGACAGAAGAGCTCGGTCTCACTGCACGGCCCGGGGTGACTCCTGTAGTCTGAACTCACATCAAGGCCATCTTGTGTCAAATGCTCAGCCTGCAGGGTGTCTGGGATAGACAAATAATTTTAGAAATGGATACATTTGACAAATAACCTTCACTGGTTAAATGAGGTGAAATAAAAATAAAATGTGTTTCATAATGTATTATTATAAAATATCTAAAGATGCGATTGGTTCTGTAAGTAGCTAAGAACATTTTGCCAGATTAGCCTTCTGAAATTAGCGTCACAACCACATAAGAATAAAATAGGATGGTATTAGATGTTACGTGTGTGTGTGTGTGTGTGTGTGTGTGTGTGCTGTGTAAAATTGGAATTTTATGCAGGGCACAAACATATTTAAAATATTTGAATTATTGCTAAAAATTTCAGAAAGTACAGGTAGGCATTAAGTTATACAATTAGAACTGTTGATCAGAACTATCAACTTCTCGGCAGTTATTATGGTCACTATCCCCGCAACTGGGGTATCTATACAGCCCCTCCTAGTCTTTTCATTCAATTTCTGCTTTCCGAAGTCACTAAGTCTACCTTGTAGTTAAATACAATGTCCTTTTCATCAACCCAGTTGGACATTTTTCAACAGTTGACATGTGACCATTTTCTGAGTCTTAATATCTTCCTTCCAAATGTCAGGCAATGTAACCAGTCCTAGCTGTGCATGCCTGTACTTCCAGCTACTTGGGAGGCTGAAGCAGGAGGATCCCTTGAGCCTAGGAGTTCAAAGCCAGCCTGGGCAACGTAGCAAGACACCATCACTAAAAAAAAAAAAAGTCAGATCAGGCATTGTAATAGGTATTTTGCACAGGTAATCTGATTAATCTGTGAGAACGGTTCCATTATACCAAGCCCAACATTACCATGAAACAAATTTACCTTCCCTTCTCACTTTTTTTGTTAAAGCACCACTCTTTTAGTTTTAGGTTGAAAACTTCTGTATGTTTCTGCATCCTAATCATTCTGGGTTAGAAGAACACGTTAATTATGTGTCAAAACTGCCCTCAGCATTATTCGCCCCTTCTATCCCCTCTCCTTTGTTTCCCTTTTAGAGTTTAATTACTAGAACTGGGTCCAAGCTGTACTTGCCAGCTCCAGTACCCCTCTAAATGATCTAGCCTTTGCCTCAGTGGGTGGGCCAGCCTTCCTAATGCCATGCCTTCAGTATGTGTTTTCTACATACTAATGACAGTCTCACTTGACTGCAATCTGGACTGAGGTCCATCCTCAGGTCAAAGTACTCAGGAACCCCCGACAAGTCTTCAAAAGCCCTCATATCTCATACCTCATCCTGAACTGATGAGGTCTCTCACTACTCCTCCGCATACTTTAGTTGCCAGTATTATTATTATTTTATAAACAGGCTGAATGAAAAATTTCAGAATGGTCATTCAATAATACTGGCAACTGAATTGTATTATGATACATAATGGACCAGGCACTGTGCTAAGTGCTTTCCAAGAAATCACTATGATCTTTACACCCCCCCGAGGGGGTGGCTAGTAGATGAGGAAGCTGCAGTTGAGAAGCCTGCTCAAGGCACCACAGCTGGAGACTGGCACAGGTGTGCCTGGTGGCAGCATCTCCACCTTGAGCCACTACGCCATATCCCAAGTGACCATTCTACTGCCCTTGGCTTGCACTGACCTTCTAAAATGTCCTCATCCTTAGTCTCCAAGGATCAGCTGTCCCACAAAACCTTTCCTGATGTTGTTGGAATCAGAAAACAATACCCCAAATGAAGTCCTCAGATGTAAAAGTTATTCCCTGACCTTCTTCTAGCCTCCTGTCTCTCAGTCCCATTCTTCCCCAAGGCTGGCCATAGAAACTAGAATCCCTCTACCCCAAGGCAGGTCATGGAAGCCAGAGCTCCTTTTCCCTACAACCAGCCATAAAACCAAAAAGTATGACTCTTGGGGTCCCTCTCCAGTCTTTCTGTGTAAAAATTGGAAGTAAATAAATTGTCATAAGACCCCCATTCCAGGAAGGGTGCTGCCTCACATTTATAAGGAAGGAATGCATGATCAGGGAGGCCAGGAAGAATCTAGACAGACAGGCCTTGCTGGGTTTCCCCTCTTCGTCTATTAACATTCAATTATCCTTGTTTGGTCCAATTTTATTTCTTTTTTTTTTTTTTTGAGACGGAGTTAAGCTCTTGTTACCCAGGCTGGAGTGTAATGGCGCGATCTCGGCTCACCGCAACCTCCGCCTCCTGGGTTCAGGCAATTCTCCTGCCTCAGCCTCCTGAGTAGCTGGGATTACAGGCACGTGCCACCGTGCCCAGCTAATTTTTTGTATTTTTAGTAGAGACGGAGTTTCACCATGTTGACCAGGATGGTCTCGATCTCTTGACCTGGTGATCCACCCGCCTCGGCCTCCCAAAGTGCTGGGATTACAGGCTTGAGCCACCGTGCCCAGCCTGGTCCAATTTTATTTCTATACATTTATCCATACTTTGTTGAACTAAAGCATAAGAATTGACAATTTCACCTGTATCTTTGGGTCTCCATTCTGAAGGCTCCCGTATCACATAAAACTATGATCAAATAATTGAGTACGCCTTTTCTCCTATTAACCTGCTTTTATCAGCCAATTTTCAACAAACCTTCGGAAGGAGAAGGGGAAGTTTCCCTTTGGCCTTGACATTATCCGCCCAAACCCGCAGAGGCCTCTCCCTCCCTTGAGTTTATTGCTTCCCTGACTTGCAGGACACCAGATAGCATTGGAATTTCATGACCCCACATTGCTAATTGGTGTGTGTTTATACTCCAAATAAAAAATGGGCAATTTCCTTGAAAATCTGTGTCATATTTCACTTCCACAGCAGTGGGTATCATTTGTGTTTTAGAAAAATGACTAAAATTGGTTTTAATAGTAGCAGCTAACCATTGTGAAAAGTGTTCGCTAAGCACCAGTTAGCAAACTAATTGCTTTGCATTCGTTATCACAATCTGTCCCCAGAAAAGCTCTCTTCTTGAAACACTTGAGCGCTAACACTTAGAGGAAGCTCCTGGATTTACCTGTTTCCTTTAGAAACGATTTTACTCCATTGTCATAGAATAGATGGGGGTACAGTGCCTAATGTGGACCCCTTCAGAGCCTCCACCACATGACTAGGAGCTCCATGGCTGATCTGAGGGGTCTGGAAATACAGAGCCACATGCAAAGGAACTGAGAGGGACAGCCCATAACTTAAGTGTGTAAAGTTACGTTGAATTGTTTGCACACACAGAGATTCTACTTACCCATAAAGATAATGATTCACTGTTGTGTTATTTACAGTTGTGACAGAATACTGATTTTTAGTCATTGCTTAGAATTTAAGAAAATTAGTAAGTCCAAGCTTATAAATAAATGTAGTGGCTTAAATCGAATTTTTAAAGTTGTCCTTAGGAGTGTCACTTCTTCAGTGAGCTGTACCTTCTTTCTCCAGCCTCAGTGATTGCATCTTCTTCTTTTTCCTTCATTGACGGGTATTCACAGCCACCTCTTCTCAGTGGGTGTTTTAATTTTTTTTTTTCAGAGATGGGGGTCTTGCTGTATTGTCCAGGCTGGGGTGCAGTGGTATGATCATAGCTCATTTTCACCTCGAATTCCGAGGCTCACGCCATCTTCCTGCCTCCGAGTAGCCGGGACTAATGGCACATGGCACCATGCTGGGCCAATTTTTTTTTTTACTTTGTGGGGTTATTTTGTTGTTGTTTGAGACAAGATCTTGTCCTGTTGCTCAGGCTGGAGTGCAGGGTCGCCATTATAGCTCACTATAGACTTGACCTTCTGGTTTGAAGTGGTCCTCCCACCTCAACCACTGGAGTGTCACCACCACAACCAACTATTTTTTAAATTGTTTGTAGTGATGGGGTCTTGCCATTCTCATTGGATTTGACTGGGTCTGAGTGAGATCTTGCAACTGGGCCGTTTTACATATTATGTTCTAAGGGAAATAAATACACAGGATGTTTTCATTTTACAACTTGGGTAAAAAGCTACTTCACAATCACTTGGCCAGATATTCTGGGTAACACTCATAAAATACTTCTCTTTTTGCCTTAGATATAGCCATGGAATCTTGAATTCTACAGACATAAGTAACACAGATGATCAGCTGGAAAGAAAGGAAATGTGACTGTAGGTGATTAGGCTCTTTAAGACCCTCCTTGGCGGTCTGAGAAGTGGTCCAGGCAGGTGGCACAGCTAGGTTTCCATACTGACCCACTGTGCTGTCATCCTTCTCCAGCCAGTGCCCCTTTGGAGGGAGTCACCAACAGAATGTGTGGCATCAATGCCTGGCTCCACCCATGTCATGGGCTCTGCTTCACTCACCCAAGACAGGGTTCCCTGGGCGGCTGGATCCCCTACTCAGGCTCCCCAAATTCTCAGGGAAAAATGATAGACTGTGACAAAAAGGCGGTCTATTATTTTACTTTTTAATAGAGTTCTGTCAGTTATAGCACATGCCATAAATTACAGTGACCTTTAAAATCTAGCTTGGTCACTGCTGAATGGGTGAGAATCGGCTTGGTTCCAGTTTTTAAGGTCACACTGTCCTAAATTGCTATGCATCACACCATGTGCTAAGTTGGTAACAACCACTTAGAGGAAAGCTTTCGTTATGCAAGCGAGCACATAAAAAAGGGCACTTATCCAAAATGAATGCAGCAATTTAAACCAAAGATGTTTGTGCAGAGCAACAACAAGGTAAGGCAGGCATTTGGGATAAACTAGGCTGATGTCTTTGAACACCCGTGGACTAATTGGAAGGTCTGAATATCTGGTGGCTGATGGGCTCTGGATGTCTTATCATTGCTTAGAAGTGAAAATTAAATGCTGAGTTATGTGTGTGAAAATACTTATATTTGCATATATACGTGAAATGTAAACCAAAGATACAATTCTAAGTCCCCCAACCTACTGAATGGACATTTCCTCTCAGCCAAGGGCCTTCCAAAGTTAACCTGAAACACTAGTTCATGCTGTGATGGAAATGAGTAGTTGGACATGTCTGCATGAAAAGAAATCAGACACCACTGACCAGCATTAACATTAAAACAGAGACCTTAAGTCTGACGAAGCAGACTCTATGTAGCAATAAGATGCTGACATGACAGCAAGCTCTGAAAGCAATAGAAATATTTTACCTCAAAATATATTTCTTTGATATATTTCAAAATGACCCTGCAAAGCTGTCTCTTGTGGGAAGAATCTACATTCTGTAGAGAATCCTCTTCCCTTTCAAGGTATTTTGTTTCTGATCTAGGAGAGAATTAACTAAGTCTGGCACCTTTTTGAGTCTGATAGGAAGCATTTATAATCTATTCTCTCAGAAGTCTGCTACCAGGAGATTTTACCTGCAAAATAAGAACCCTGGTCTCTCTGACCCCTTATTTTAATCCAAACACACCCTTCTATTGACTCTGGGTCTTAGATAAACTCTTTCAACTAATTGCCAAAAGGAAACCTTTGAATCCACCTATGGCCTACGAGCCTGCCCATCTTGAGCTGTCCTGTTTTTCCAGACCAAACCGATGTGTATCTTACACATATTGGTTGATGCCTTATGTCTCCCTAAAACATATAAAATGAAGCAGCAGTTCAACCACCTGGGACACATGTGGCCACCTTGACAAAATAAACTAAATTGACTGAACCTGTGTCAGATGCTTTTTGGCTTACAATCATTTATATAAATAATAAAACCAAGAGGATGAAAAAGACTCTCAAAACTTAGCTAATTCCTTCACCTAAAATAATATAGACATATTATTTTTTATGTAAGATTTTAGCAGTAGTGTCATCTTCATATGTAGACAGCAAGTTACTTTATGATGGAAGACAAGATGCTCAGCCTGAGGGAATTTTCTAGACAAAAGGAATTACCACTTAAAAAGGAAACATCTTAAAATACATTTTAGTCATTCTGTATGGAAACACTATTCGCTTACTCTAGCTGGATAAACATAGTTTAATGTTGTCATGAAAATTGTGTTACTGACATAACATCAAAAGAAATGTGCTGTTCTTGGAAGCCATTTGCCCCTGCCTGTCTTCTTCATCTGGGTCTGCCCTGGAGGGTTTCTGGATGCCTTTCCTGCTGGGCTGTTGACACATCGGCTGCTCTTCTCTACATATGTTTCCTTTCTAGGTCTTTTTCCTGATCTAGAAGAGAATTAACTAAGTCTGGAGCCTCACTTACAAATTTTTACCAATGTGGAAAAGCCATGTTTTTCTACAAGTGTGTATTAACACTTTGTAATCATATTGACTTGAGTATGTTCTGTCATTGTATTAGGAATAGTAAATTCCTCTTCAAAAGGTTTAATTGCATAATGTTCCTATCCTTTGCTCAAAAGCCCAACCTCCTTGTACTCTTGTCTGGAACCTGCAAACAACACTCCTGCTCTAGTCATGCCCTGGTATGCCCAGACATGTCCAGATATGCCTTGTACTATAATGGACAGACCATTCCCACCCACTGCCTCCTCTTAGAAAACAGGCCCTAACCATATTTAGAAAAGTTCAAGCCTTAGCCAATCAGGATCAGCTTTGATGGTGCAGTCCAACCTAGCCAATAGGGGAAGGGCACAGGGACAGGAACTGCATTAGGAATAAAAACCCCTTCTCTCCTTTGTTTGGTGTGCTCTTGTGATTGTGACTGATGCAGGCAGCACCCTTCTGCAGAAGTAAATTGCCTTGCTGAGAAAACTTTTTGCCTGAGTGCTAGTTCTTCTTTGCGGCACCAAGCATTTGTTTCTGACAATTGGCTTAAAATGTAGATTTTGCACCTTGGTAAAAATTTGCTAGGACACCTGTGTGTGGTTTGTGGCTCTGAGTACACTGTGCCACCCACTTTGAGAGCAGCATGTGAGCTGCCATGCTAACATGTAAGTGAGGCCCCACACTTAGTTTAAAGTTGTTTTCAGTAAGAAAGGTTGTCATGCATCTGGAGGATGTGACCATTTCTCCTTCTCAGTATAAAAACACAGTGGTCAGACTGTTCTACTCAGATGCTGAGTGCTGCAGGATGCTAAGGGAATGGTGCAAGGACTGTAGATGCTTTTACAGAAACTGAGAGACTACCTACTATTTTAAGGCTGCCTGGGTGATTGCACAGTAATTACTGCCAAGTTGCATATGAAGACTTTTACATTTTTAAAATTGTATCCCCAAAAATTGTAATATCATTTATGGTGACATGAAATTTGAGTAGCAATTGTTAAAATAATTGAGATGCCATTAGGCTGAGATGGTCCTAGAGCCCTTCGGTTCCCAGGTAAGGAAATCCAACCAAGCTCAATTCAACATAAACAGTGAAAAAAAAAACCCTTTACCACTCAGAAACCACCACCAAGGCCAGGGACTTTCCAATAGACCATACTCAATTAAGACAAATACTCAGCCCTAGAAAATCAAGCAGTGGCTTTGCTTCGCTTCATGTTCAGCCTATAAAACCCTGCTGCTCTTGCTGCTAGAGTGAAGCTCTCTGAACCTCTTCAGGTTTGAATGCTATCTAATTCATGAATCCTTTAATGCTCAGATAAACTCTGCTGAATTAATTTTGTCTCAAATTTTCCTTTTAATACAACTCTTTATTTTCTGTGGTTTGGAAAAACAGAGTAATAATTTTATTAGAACTCTGTGCAAAGTAAGTATGTGTATGCTCTAAGTGAAGCAAAGAGAGGGCTTCCTTCTTATTAAATGTGCTTTCCTTAAGAATTTTCCAAGAAAATGTGCAGTACCCTCTGCTACTTCTGAGGCTCTCTGTTTTGTCTTCCTAGTCCATCACAATTGCCACTCATTGGGTTTTGGGTGTGTGTTTTCATATAGTGGTTACTGTCTATATTGCTATACCCAGATTCTAAGAACCTGGAGAAGGATTAGCAATTCTTATAACAGTAAGTTTACTGTGTATAGGAACGGTTTGTATTTCATTATAGCTATCCATCTTTTCTACATTAAAAATATTTTTCTCAAAAAAAAAAAAAATAGATGTTCTTTCCTACCAGGGCATAAAAAATACCTTAAAAAGCATTTTTATTTACTTCTGGGTTCCTTACTGCACTCCAAAAAGCTGGTTTGCCTGAAAGTACATATTACATAAGAGAGATACTAGGAAAATTGACTTCAGCAATTTTATGTCTTGCCTCACATAAAAGGCTTGGATGCACCAAATTTCCACAATGTAAAACCCTTCCAGAATTTAAAAAAAAGTAACAATAGAAAAATCTTAAACATACTACAGAGACAGATTTAAAATGTTACTGGGCATACTCAAATAAAGTAAATGATAAATACTGTCTCATTTCAATTTCAGCTATTAAGAAATATTTGTTTCTAAATTTGCCATATATACATTTCTGAAATTACATCCTAAAGGGACTGCCTTCCTAATTGGGGATATCAGTATTTATCACAGCTCTTCTCAGCATGGAAGCTTTGCAACAACAAATACCAAAATACATGTGTTACGCCACACAATCGGGAAGCTCTGCTCTCACTGAATTCTGAATAAGAGACGGATAATTCTATTTTGATTCTCCAACGTGTGCTTGTGCCAATTTAAAACTTTTCTTCTTTGAGGCAAATAGCTGCTTTTAGTAAGAGGTCAGTGTACTAGTGATAACTTTAAAGAGATGAAAAGGCTTTGCATTGACTATTTCAGTTATCTTGAGGTCTCCAGATTTGTAAGTATCGCCTCATTCATTTTCCAAAAGGCTCATTAAGCTGGTTTGGAGAAAGTATGAGTGCGATTTTTTTTCCGGTAAAAAAAAAAATAAAAAGTGAACTCATGTCAGTCATCTAGACATTACTCGATTTTGTCTTTTCTGAAGTCCTACCAAATTTCTGTTCTCTGAGGGGCTGACCCAGAGCTCCTGGTTGACCAAGCTCGCTCCTCCCTGGGGAACAAAGGGCAGCAGCATTGGCCAAAGACAAAAAGAAACCCTGGAAAGACATCCTTCTTTACATTTCCTGCCTGCTGGAGTGAGGGTCGAGGCAAAACTTGCTCCTACTTTTCTACTTCGCCCTTCACATTAACAACAACAATTTGAAGGGCATTAAGATTTAATGTGTTCTCTGCGGATTCATACCAGTTCCTAAAATGAAGTACTAAACTCTATTACTTATTGATGACATCTGAGTCAGAAGTTTTTCTTCATGTACTTCTTCATTTTCTGGACTTTGAACTTCCCTCTCTTGTTAAAGCAAAGCAGCTGTGGCAAACCAGCCTTTTATTTTTTCCTGCGTTGCATAAAATAGAATAACACTCTCCAAGCATAATCCAGCTTCTGTGATTTATATTCGTCAGCACCTCAGGACCTTACACCACGCCAAGCTTTGTGACCATTGGGAATGTTTGCAGACCCTGTTGTGGCCATGGTGCATCCCTCTACTCCCCAAGGATTCTCTCTTCTACCCTCAGCCAGTGATCTGCCCTCACGACACCAGTTTTCCATGGCAGAGACATGGTCCACAGGGAGGAAATATGCTTTCAGGGCAGCATGCTTGGATTCCTCTAAAAATCATATACTTTCCCTCTAAAATCATGTACATTTTTCCATCTCCCTTTCCTCTAACCAGTAAGCTATTTAAGCATCTGAACCCCCATTGAGATGTTGGACAATCACTCTGTAATTCTTTCTGCATGCATGGTAGTAATAAATCTGTATGCCTTTTCTCATTAATGTGCCTTTTTTTGTGAGCTGATTTTTCAGCAAACCTTCCGAAGGGAAAGGGGAAGCTTTCCCTTTGCCCCGCAGCTGGTAATGATTGGCTCATGGCAGCACATGGTAACAGAAGGTAGATGGTTTCTGAGTGAGCAACCCACTGTCAGGAGGACTGCCCCATGATCAGAGTGCTTGGCTGGCTCATCAGAGGGCACTGATTTGGCACTGATTTTTACCAACCCTTCAAACATCAACACCTGGTCAGCTACCCATGAGAGGTAAGGCTCCATTAGGAGGGTCGGTGAGCTTTCATTATCACACAGGGGTTTTCTCATTTTCTCTTCTAAAATCCTTAATCGTATCCTGTGTACATCATGTTAATGTGACCTTTATGTTTTCCATGAAGGAGTGTGTGTGTGTGTGTATGCATATACACACAGTTGTCCTGGTGCTTGAGGAGGCAAAGCTAAGTGTTTGAGGCCAGCTTGGGCAATATAGAGATCTCTCTCTCATGTATATATATATACATGCACACACACACATATGTTCATATATATATATATGTGTGTGTATTCCATATATATATAAAACTTACATAGAGGCACACCCCTGATATATGAAAGCATAAAATTACAACCAACTGTGATTTTTATTTATATTAGCATCGAAATTTAAAATTCTCAGATTAATGCAACATAATCTGTTCATTTAGGGATTTGTGTTTAAGTTCTGTGCTTTAGTATTAGGTGGCTGCAAATGACAATGTACTTTCAAAATAAAGTATCTTAATCTTCTATAAATCCTATTCATAATTTGTTCAATTCCAAAAAAAGTTTATAAACATGTTATGACATCTGACATGATTCTATTGCAAGAGGATAGAAATTTATTGCAGCAGAAAAATATGATTTTTCACTCTCAAGTTTATTATTCTCCTTATTTTATTGTAGCAACTCTAGGTCCTTTAGTATAAAGAGAAATCAAAAGAAACAGAATATCTACAATCTTGGTTTAAGAAGTACACTGGGATCTGGTGACCTAAACCATATGTACAGAATATAAACATATTTATACTTCATATGTACATAGTTAATGGTTACCTATGCATTATAAATAGTAAGTTTAACTTAGATTCTATAAAAATAATCGTTTTGGATGGGCACATGCAAACCAGTACACATAAGCCAATTTATAAAACACATCTCTATGCTTTTCTTTTTGCTTCTAAATATAAATTTTGCCATTTAGCCATCAGCTAAATGATTTAAATGCAAACCCCAAAGACTCCAGTTAAAAGTATAAAATCTGCTTCTAACCCCAATAGCATACTGCTTCAAGTATTCTCCTCCTATGTAAGGTCTAGGTAATTTTGCCACTTATGAATTTTAGGTCTGCATCCCATTTCCTCAAGTTAGACATCCTGCTAGGGTCACAGCTTCTTTGTTCCATTTTTGTTTAATAAGACATTGCAAACAGTAGATATTTCTTAAAGTGACATCATTTTCTCTTTTGTGTTTTGATAAAACACAAAAGCCTTTTTCTTGCACCCTGACCCTGATGCTTTAGGATAATGCAACGAATTCTACCCTCAATGGTTTACAGGGCCATCCACGCAGGCAGAAGACTGAGCAGCCACAAAAGGCTCATTTTGCTTCTGGTCCTCTTTCATGCCAGCTGCCTGGTCTGTGATCGAGGAGAAGGACAGCTGGTCATGCTCTATGATGTGCACTTGATCCTCGTCCTTGTCCTTCTTCACATAGAACATTTTTCTGAATTTTTTCAGCTCATGGAGTTCACAGAAGGTTTCCAGAACTACCAACATGGCAATAAGGCCAAGTAGCAGGTAACCTGTGTGAGAAATGGGAGAGTATCTCAGTATGATCTCAACACAGACAAATCAAGTAGCAAGTGACTTACCTCCGCACCTCGTGCCAACACAGTGTCTGTTAAGGAATAAACTATTGGCAGTTTTTTAATTTTTAGGAGTGTTTTTAAGTCCATGGCTCAACGAGGATCTACCCATTATTAAAGAGTGAAAGATAACAAAGAATGATTTAATCTCCTATGAACTTGGATTCGTTAGAATTACAGGTTGCAATTTTTGAGGAAAAAAAATACTTGGGGCTGACATGGCATTACTAAAGACATACGACATACTGAACTTACCCAAGTGTGATCTTGCATGCAAGGAAGACTTACTACCTCTGCTTTATAATCAGTGATTCACAATAAGCCAGTGATGTTTTAAAAAAGTTTTCATTTTATCATGGGGTGCTTGGAAGAAAGCTTCATATCTTTTTAAGCACTCAATACTCTTACAATTTCTACTACAGAATAAGAGTTTAGTCATAGAAATTGCAGCCTAAATGCTATGGTTTGGCTGTGTCCCCACCCAAATCTCATCTTGAATTCCCATGTGTTGTTGGAGGGACCTGGTGAGAGGCAGTTGAATCACGGGGGCAGGTCTTTCCCCTGCTGTTCTCATGATAGTGAGTAAGTCTCATGAGATCTGACGGTTTTGAAAAGAGGACTTCCTGGGAGCTGCGGTGGCTAAGGCCAGTTGTCCTGGTGTTTGAGGAGGCAAAGCTAAGTGTTTGAGGACAGCCTGGACAATATAGAGAACTCTCTCTCATGCATTGAAAAACAAATTTAAAAAAAAAAAAAGAGGAGTTTCCCTGCACAAGCTCTCTCTTTGCCTGCTGCCATCCATGTAAGATGTGACTTGCTCCTCCTTGCCTTCCACCATGATTGTGAGGCTTCCCCAGCCACGTGGAACTGTAAGTCCATTAAACCTTTCTTTTGTACATTGCCCAGTCTCAGGTATGTCTTTATCAGCAGCATGAAAATGGACTAATACACTAAACTAAATCAAAAATTTAAGAATGATGTCGATATTAAATAGGTCCTTGTGCATGGCTATCCACACCTGCACCTAAATCCAGCAGCAAAGCCAAGCTCTCCATTACCTCCCAGTCATTTTTAGACACATGCACTATTCACTGGCTCACACTACCAGCTTCTTACTGAGAAAATAAAGGATAACTGTTGACTCGGATAAAATGCTATTGCTTGGAATCTGTCATAGGAAATGGTGATTTAAAATTCCTTCCATCATTTTAAAAATCAGTTTTCAGAAAAAAAAGTCATCATAAAAAGGAACAGAAATGTGAAGGTGAAAACTTCAAGAATAACAAAAATTCCAATTTCATGTCATGGTGGGAAAACATTTGAGAGAGATTTTCAAGAATGTACGAAGTAGGGAAGCAGAATTGACAGCACAACAGGAATAAGGAGGCTGATTGACCCAAGAATACAAAGTTTTAGTATCTTCAGAATCTGACTACAGATTTTGATAACATTATTGTGCATTCAATTTGCTCTCCTGTAGTTTAAAAACAGTAATGACATTGTTAGACTAATTGATCGATCTGTGTCTTTTCCTTTATTATTATTCTTATTATTTGAGATGGAGTCTCATTCTGTCACCCAGGCTGGAGTACAGTGGCATGATGTCGGCTCACTGCAACTTCCACCTCCCAGATTCAAGTAATTTCCACCTAATCTTTATATTTTTAGTAGAGATGGTGTTTTGCCATATTGGCCAGGCTGGTCTCTAACTCCTAGCCTCAAGTGATCTGCCTACCTCAGCCTCCCACAGTACTAGGATTACAGGCATGAGCCACTGCACCCGGCTTCCTTTATTATTATTTAATCAAACTCTTGAAATGCTGACAAAAATACCTATGGGGTTTCAGGTAAAAACTGTGAGATTTTATCCTGCCCACATCGAATATATCTTTGGAACATTCATTTGTTTGATACTGAAGTTCTTGATGCTCAAAACATAAGTTAACTATGTATATTGCTTTTTTAAAAAAGATCCACATTGTAAGAAGTGATAAAATGTTAGGCGAGGATTTAGTATTATACGAAACACTGAGGAAGTTAAGTGGTTGGGCAAAATAAAATTTTTGGCCAGGCTGGTCTCAAACTCCTGGCCTCAAGTGATCTGCCTGCCTCAGCCTCCTAAAGTACTAGGATCACAGGCATGAGCCACTGTGCCTGGCCCCCTTTATATTATTTAGTCAAACTCTTGAATGCTGACAAAAATACCCATGGGGTTTCAGGCAAAAACTGAAAAAATAAAATTTTGCCCAACTACTTAACTTCCTCAGTGTTTCATATAATACAAAATGCATAGTAATGTTATCAAAATCTATAGTCAGATTGTCTTCTGATTCTTGGGTTAATCAGAAGACAATTTATATAAGAGAAAATTGTTGTAGCTGCAAACAAAGTTACAGAAACATTCTACTTCCCTAAGTCACAAAATAAAATAAAACAAGCACCTATTATATGAAAAGAAAGTTAAGATAATGTTTACTTGGCTATGAAACTCACATACACAAAAAACATTTCTAATGCTACTGGCCAACACCACCCCAGGAGTGCTGGAACTGTCATACTCAGATAATGCTGGTGACAGTGTCAACTCATAACAACATTTGGAAAGCACCAGGCCATTATGCTCTGTGAGTCACAAAAGGCGTATTCACTTTGCACCAGCAATCTCATTTCTTGGAAGAATATCAATGTAAGAAATGTGTACATATACAGAAATATTCTCCAAAGTGTCATTTACAATACCCCTGAATTAGAAGAAACCTAAATAGTGAGCAATAGAGGCATGGTTGGATTATGGTGGGCCACCTGGTTACTATCATATGGGCTCTAAAAACAATGCTTATGGTAGCTACAGGAAATATAAAATCATCCTGGTAATGATTTTAAAAAGAAAATCTGTTGAACTTGTATGGTAGCCAGGCACTGTTCAAAGCATTGGGGATTATGAGTAAAGTCTTTGTTTTGGCTGAGCCCATGGTTTAATGGAAATGTCAAAATACATTTCACATGTATTTTGTGTCAAACAGAATTCAACTAAGCATTTTATAGAGTTAAGAATTACAGGGCCAAGACAGAGCATCTGGCTGCTTGAGTATCTACTATGATTTCCTAGAAAACGTGACCTAAGCTGAGTCGTAGATTGAAAAATTCTTAAGAAGGCAAGGCAGGGCCGGGCGCGGTGGCTCGCGCCTGTAATCCCAGCACTTTGGGAGGCTGAGGCGGGTGGATCACCAGGTCAAGAGATCGAGACCATCCTGGTCAACATGCTGAAACCCCATCTCTACTAAAAATATAAAAATTAGCTGGGCACGGTGGCACGTGCCTGTAATCCCAGCTACTCAGGAGGCTGAGGCAGGAGAATTGCCTGAACCCA